AGAAGAGCGTATGCGTATAAATAGACACGTACTTACTTTTTAAATGTTTCTTTCTAGAAAATATATTTAATATTTAAAAATCATGCTTATAAGACAAAAGCTTTTTAAATGCCTTTTTTATTATAACTAACAAACTTTTTTTTTTTATGTATGTTGATGTATGTTTTTGGAAAATCAGAGTTTGTATGGAATGAGAGTATGTGAAAGGATGGTACATTAAAGGATAAAACTACGACGTTGTCCATGTACATGGTAATAGCGATTTTTGATTATGTATGGAATTTTGTGTTTATTTGTAACCATCACATGTCTGTAAGTCCGTTTCTGGGCTAAAAAGCTGAAACTATTTAATAAATTAAAAATTAAACTAACAAAATTTTTAGAAATTTAATGTAAAAAATCAGTTTAAGCGATAAAATTTATTACATTACGGATAAAAAATCATAATTTTATTTTTGTTGTAAGATTCGTGAAATTCGCCTATGAAGTATACTCGTGTTTCTGAAAATCTGCAATTTACTCAAAATCATTTTGCTGATAAATAATTTCATTGCTAAAATAAAATGAAAAGTATAGATGTCGTGGCAAGTATCCCATAAATTTAAATAGTTAAAAGTGTTGTTCTTTAATTAAATACACCAGAATTCAACAAAAATTAAAACCACACAAATAACTACAACGACAACGACACCTTAGATATTATGTAATGTAATTAGATCATACGAGAGTATAGGCTGCTGCACAGTATTACATGTACACTTACTTACGCACATTATTTTCGCTACGAAGCTCGTAAAAATTAAAAAACGAAAGAAAAAAATGACTAAAAGACCGTTTTATCGCGATTGTCGATAATTCAATACTTACATCCTTGTGTTACTTGTAAGAGTGACGATATACACGGTATGATATTTTATGGCTATCACACAATTCTGAGGCTAATAAGTGAACGAATGGTGAAGGTTTTAAAAAATGAATACGATGTGCGTAGGAACAGAAAATTTTTCTTGATCTAATAAAATATCTGTAAAAGGATTCTTATGTAGGTTACGCATAGTTTTATTATTCTATAATTGTATAGAAATTCGTTAAATAAATGAGTAAATGATTTCGCGTTTTTTCTGTACTTTACAGTCAAATGATTGATTTTTTAATTTATTTAACAGCAAAAAGTTATAAAACTAAACAAAATTAATATACATACATGTCGCGTGTACTTCCATATTTTCATTTAAAACAACGATAAATTGTCATTCCAATAATTACTGTTATGGAGGTCAATTGGTGAAGGTTTCTGATGAACATTATAATAATCACAGTTAAAATTTTCAATTCGAATTTTTCAATAAAACTATTTTTTATTGCTCTCATTCTAAATGTCAAAATATATGTTAATTAATTTTTAACATACATAACTACTCTGCGTTGACTGTGGATGACAAAAATACATTTTACTAAAACTTTGGTGATAAGTACAGCAATGCAGAAAAACCTAGTTCAAGTTTTACCCGATAATACCGTTATTGTAAAAGTCAGCAAAAGTAACAATCATTAAATATTTATTAGAACTCAAGTCTTATGATTTTTGTTGCAAACAGCAAATTATTGAAAAAAAATTGAAGGTTTATAGACCCTATCATTTTTTATTTATCATAACTTTATCTTTTTTTTATACTATGTTCATCAAACGATTTTTTATTGTTCATGTATGCTATAAAATGTTTCAATTTTATATCTCTTAGTAATTGAGTTTATCTTCAACTCAAACAGTTTCTAAAAGCACATATCACTTTCTTGTTCCTATATTTTTGGTTTTATCATGCTCTAGCTAAATTTATTTATTTAACAACTTTACCTTCAAATACTTTACATCAATACTTTATAGGCTATGATTTTGCTTTGAGTGTGCTTGTATATTAAATATTACTATACATCTCCATTGATAATTTTTATTTATAAAATTTACGACAATCAGAAATAATAGTACTACTTAATATATTTTTAATAAAGAAAATATTTATTCAGAAAACACAAAACCCAAGTTTATTTTATAAATCTTCACAAGAAAGGTGTTCATCCTATTCGATGCAGTTATGAATCAAACGTGATACTGCAAAACGTAAGCACCTGACCATTATTATGCATTCCGCAAATGCCTATTAACAGTCCATCTACTGAGTACTACTCGGTTCGTTCAGCGATAAAAAAAATGTGCATACACTTACCTCTTCATTCAAAGTTCATTGGGATATGACTTTAGTTTTAAGTAGGCTTTAATTGTGACATTAATTAAAATATGTTGTGTAATTTACTTAAAGAAAAAGTCTTTTTTTATTAACTTGTCCTATTTATAGATTAATTCGAGATTAATTCTCGTCTAGTCCCAGTTTCGAGATCATTGAAGCGCAAATGAATGATTTTTTGCTCAGGGAAATATATTTATGTAAAAAAAGCATTGGCTCTGTGAAATTTTCCTTGACGAAATGAAGTGGTTGATAAATTTTGGTCACTTAAGATATTGAGCAACAAGAAGTATGGGAAAATAAATCAAAACAATGATTGGACAAAGGACGACTTTCGCAATGTGTACAATCTTTTGATAAAACCATAAAAGCAGCTCCCTAATGAACTCTCATCTCAACAGCCGAGCATACTCGAACAAACCATTGCTATGTTTATAATTAGGAAGATGATAACTAGTCTAACAAACTTGATTATGCAGTAGTTCGCATCCAATCAAAGATAGTCACTAAGGAAATAAGTCTTGTAATTAATTGTAGTCATAAATCATGCGATAAATGCTGTACAGCAGCATCTTCATTAATTGCATAAATGATTATAATTTTCCGATTACTGTATCCCAGTCATGATTCCACTAAATTTTTCCGAATACAAATAATTAATCGCAACCATAACTTTTGTACCTTGATTTTTCAATATTTGATAAAGTGAAATACCGTTAGGTGATTGCACGTTATATATTATTAAATTTTTTGAATGTCATCGTTTGTCTTGTTTGTCTATTATTGCTGTAGAATTTTTTTATGCACCAGACCAAATCAAAATTTCAAAGTAGGTAACGATTAAAAGAAAAACCAAGCGTTATTTCCTACCTCTGTAATCGTTTGGATTAGCGCATCAGTTTCACGGCCAGTCAAAAACGAAAGGCCAATAACCCAATTCCTCGCAGCGCAGCTGCTAAGCTCCGTCAGTCGTCGTTGGCGAGGAAATCCCAAGCGCATCAGCAAAAAAAAAAAAACCATGTCTTTCTCGCGTCGAATGAAAAATCCGGCGCAGTCGACCAACTGAGTGTATATTATATAGCTTGTCGCATGCCTCGGTCATACCGATGCAAGGGCCCCTTCTACTTATGTAGTCCAACTATGTATACGTGCGCGTGTCACTACTCTTGGCAACAACTACTCCGTTCTTCTGACGTGCACCCAAGAACCTTTATTCAATCTTGGATGTTTGTTATCGTCAACAGTTTCTACTTAGTGAGATTATTCTCTTGTACACTGCAGCGTGACATACTCTCGTTGAAAATCAATAATCAGTAATGGCTCTTGCTTGGCTTTGTTGTTGTTGTGATTTATATTACCATGCTTGTGGACGGATAAGACATCGATTGCTTCTCGATTACAATTGCAGTTTTGGATTTTCCGCTGCGCGTGATCGTCACGTGGATCGTTAGTAGACACGTGCGCGCTTTCAGGAAAGCTTTAATTGTTGCTATGTATAATCATTAGACAAAATGCTAAAAGTGAAAATTGATTGGAGTTTAATTAATATTGGATTTTTAAAGTATGATTAGTTTAATCAATAATTAATTCTCACGTCACCTGTGACATTTTACTGATACCATATTTTTTAAGCAATAAAATTGTTTGTTTGAGTACTTTTTTTTTTTTTTTTCATCAAACGTGGGATTTATTTTGGTACAAATAAACGAATTGTTTCATTTGAAATAAATCCGAATTAATTAACATTAAGTAAATATTAAATTTATGAAAATCAGTACGTCATTAAATGTTGATTTCTTACGAGTACTCCAAGTATTCTCATCACAACAAGTAGAAAGTAATTAATTATGAGTTACATAAATATTTATTAAATTTGAATAAATACCTATGTTACTAAGAAACAAATTAAGGGTCACTAAAATACTGCTTAATACAAATTTAGCATCTATTTACTTGGAATAAAAACATATTTATTCTGGTTTAAAGCCAGACTGACGTATAATTCTGTATGATTTGCTTCATGATAAGAAAGTTTAGAAAAAAGTACATCTTGTCAATTAACCCTTTATTAATGTACTTGCCAAGCCCAAAACAAATTGCTCTACTTTAGAAAAAAAAAGACATAAAGTTGGCACTTTTACATGAGCTTACAAAGGGACTTTACAGAGAATTTTCACAGCAATACCTACCTATTACGCTTGATTCACCGATGAAAACGTTATGAAAAATAGTTATGTGGCGAACAAACACTTTAATGATTCACTCGCCTAGTTCAAGACAAATGGCGTCTGTGGTCAAGAAAATATGCCTGCACACGTAAACAAGTTTGATCACGGCTCCTATGCTAAATGAATGTGTATAACGAGTGAACATCGCCTGCCGTTGGCTTGTGTCTTTTTACGCGGCACGATAACTTTTTGCAAAATTACTTGTAGAATCCGTTCCTCTTGAAATTATGATCTGAAACTTCGTGCAGCTCTTCAGAAGACCTTGTACGTTGGATTACTCATACTGTTAGCTTCGTATTTTTTATCATCTCAAATGAATAATACTTATTTTATTTGGCTTCAAATATAAGAAACAAGACCACTTTGAATAAATTCTATAATTTTTTCAAAACTTATTTTTGAACTAATTTTCCATAAATAGTGAATAAGTTTTTGGGTTGATAATTCGTAGTAAGATAATTTCTTTCAACACCCGCAAGAGCGTCCCAACATCCTTCAGAAATGTATACTACAGTTGTATATGAATTTATTGAGATTAAATAAACATTTATTGAAATAATCCAACTCAAAACAGTTATTTCCGTTGCGTAAATATGTATTTAGTTTCGTTAAAGAAATAATAATCATATCTTTAAAATAAGTTTGTTGCAGACAAATAAATGCTTGTTAATTGTTTTATTTATGACTTTGAAAATGTTTATTAAAATTAATTAAATAAATTTAGATTAAAATGAAATAAACATATACTTATAATTGTTGAGTAATCGATCATGGTAATATTATTTAAAAAAAAACGATGAATGCGTGTAAATAGAATGTTTTAAACTTGACGTGGCGCCTGACCTTGACCGTAGATTTATGATACTGTACTATGACGGATAATTTAATAATTCATAAGTTTTTTAAATTACTTCGAAACATTACTTCTTTAATTAATGAGTTACCCTCTGCCTGGCTATTTATGGGTATAACTTATGTTGAGATGATTGTGCTTTTTCACTTATCTATTTACACGTGAGCTAAAAATTAATTGTTTCTAACTTCAAAAGTTACTTTAAAATATTAAATTAATCAATGATTTTTACTGAACGTTGATTGGGGTTATTTATTCTTTAATTAGTTAAAAAGATCATGTTTAGTCTTAGAAATTCAAGGCGACCCCTATATATTCCAAGTTCATTGACCAAAAACGAAAGGAATATTTCCAGAAGTATTATCTTTAAATAACGAGTACTAAGTAATCCACCTCATATCGTAAAACGTCAAGCAAATTAACAGATAGTACATATTATAATTAATCTTAGTTTTTCGATATGATTTCATTCATAAAATATGAAGTCGTTTTCCCTCTTTGTTTTAATTGCAAAACCATATTTATGTAAGCTAAGGTTTTCACCATCTCGCAATTGCTTGATGAAATAGAGAGAAGATTTTCTATACTTTCCAATATTATATGTATAAATAAAATTATGCGAACTTTTAAGAAAAATATTAAACTGTAATAGTTATTTAATGTCTTATTTATGGCTTCTTTTTATAATGGTGCATTTTTTTCCTTGAATTTTTCAGAGCCACTGATATGGTGGATGTGATACAAAATCGCATTCAAGACTTCTGTGCTAATTGGGAGACCTATCCAGATTCAAACCGAATTTATGTTGAAGATGGCACGACACTTTCTGCAAATGGTAAGATTAGATTTTTTTTGCACTTAACTTCAATAGAAAAGCGATAAGACGTTGAAGTATTACAATGCTACAAATGATCAATTTAATACAATGAAAAATTTATTGTATTAAATTACAGTAAAAATTGAATGAAAATTGTTTGTCTATTATTGCTGTAGAATTTTTTTATGCACCAGACCAAATCAAAATTTCAAAGTAGGTAACGATTAAAAGAAAAACCAAGCGTTATTTCCTACCTCTGTAATCGTTTGGATTAGCGCATCAGTTTCACGGCCAGTCAAAAACGAAAGGCCAATAACCCAATTCCTCGCAGCGCAGCTGCTAAGCTCCGTCAGTCGTCGTTGGCGAGGAAATCCCAAGCGCATCAGCAAAAAAAAAAAAACCATGTCTTTCTCGCGTCGAATGAAAAATCCGGCGCAGTCGACCAACTGAGTGTATATTATATAGCTTGTCGCATGCCTCGGTCATACCGATGCAAGGGCCCCTTCTACTTATGTAGTCCAACTATGTATACGTGCGCGTGTCACTACTCTTGGCAACAACTACTCCGTTCTTCTGACGTGCACCCAAGAACCTTTATTCAATCTTGGATGTTTGTTATCGTCAACAGTTTCTACTTAGTGAGATTATTCTCTTGTACACTGCAGCGTGACATACTCTCGTTGAAAATCAATAATCAGTAATGGCTCTTGCTTGGCTTTGTTGTTGTTGTGATTTATATTACCATGCTTGTGGACGGATAAGACATCGATTGCTTCTCGATTACAATTGCAGTTTTGGATTTTCCGCTGCGCGTGATCGTCACGTGGATCGTTAGTAGACACGTGCGCGCTTTCAGGAAAGCTTTAATTGTTGCTATGTATAATCATTAGACAAAATGCTAAAAGTGAAAATTGATTGGAGTTTAATTAATATTGGATTTTTAAAGTATGATTAGTTTAATCAATAATTAATTCTCACGTCACCTGTGACATTTTACTGATACCATATTTTTTAAGCAATAAAATTGTTTGTTTGAGTACTTTTTTTTTTTTTTTCATCAAACGTGGGATTTATTTTGGTACAAATAAACGAATTGTTTCATTTGAAATAAATCCGAATTAATTAACATTAAGTAAATATTAAATTTATGAAAATCAGTACGTCATTAAATGTTGATTTCTTACGAGTACTCCAAGTATTCTCATCACAACAAGTAGAAAGTAATTAATTATGAGTTACATAAATATTTATTAAATTTGAATAAATACCTATGTTACTAAGAAACAAATTAAGGGTCACTAAAATACTGCTTAATACAAATTTAGCATCTATTTACTTGGAATAAAAACATATTTATTCTGGTTTAAAGCCAGACTGACGTATAATTCTGTATGATTTGCTTCATGATAAGAAAGTTTAGAAAAAAGTACATCTTGTCAATTAACCCTTTATTAATGTACTTGCCAAGCCCAAAACAAATTGCTCTACTTTAGAAAAAAAAAGACATAAAGTTGGCACTTTTACATGAGCTTACAAAGGGACTTTACAGAGAATTTTCACAGCAATACCTACCTATTACGCTTGATTCACCGATGAAAACGTTATGAAAAATAGTTATGTGGCGAACAAACACTTTAATGATTCACTCGCCTAGTTCAAGACAAATGGCGTCTGTGGTCAAGAAAATATGCCTGCACACGTAAACAAGTTTGATCACGGCTCCTATGCTAAATGAATGTGTATAACGAGTGAACATCGCCTGCCGTTGGCTTGTGTCTTTTTACGCGGCACGATAACTTTTTGCAAAATTACTTGTAGAATCCGTTCCTCTTGAAATTATGATCTGAAACTTCGTGCAGCTCTTCAGAAGACCTTGTACGTTGGATTACTCATACTGTTAGCTTCGTATTTTTTATCATCTCAAATGAATAATACTTATTTTATTTGGCTTCAAATATAAGAAACAAGACCACTTTGAATAAATTCTATAATTTTTTCAAAACTTATTTTTGAACTAATTTTCCATAAATAGTGAATAAGTTTTTGGGTTGATAATTCGTAGTAAGATAATTTCTTTCAACACCCGCAAGAGCGTCCCAACATCCTTCAGAAATGTATACTACAGTTGTATATGAATTTATTGAGATTAAATAAACATTTATTGAAATAATCCAACTCAAAACAGTTATTTCCGTTGCGTAAATATGTATTTAGTTTCGTTAAAGAAATAATAATCATATCTTTAAAATAAGTTTGTTGCAGACAAATAAATGCTTGTTAATTGTTT